GGGTGGTGGGAATGAGTGTGTTTGAGACGGCGAGATTGGCACAGGATAGAACAGCATTTAAGGGCTCTTGTACATAGGGTTGCTATGAGTCGCAAGCAACTTGATGGCACATAATAACAACAACACGTGGTTATGGTACAGTAAAACTAATGAAAGGCAGAGGATCAGAGAAAGAGGAAGACCTTCAGTAAAGTGGATTGATACAGTGAATCAAATAATGGTCACAAGCTTTATTCCATCCCCGTCATTAAGGAAGACTCTCTTATGAGGAGACAAGTTTCTGCTCTTCAAAGGGTTTCCAAAGCTCCTTATTTTAGAAGTGGATGGCTGGTTCTGACTCCTACTCTGTTTTTGTCTGGAAGTGCCTGAAACCTCTTCACCAAGAATGACCCTGCTGGTTTTTAAAGTATCAGTGGCGTGGCTTCCCATATCACAGCAACTTAGAAGCCATCATGTTTCAAGAAACTGATATGAGTGGTGGAAAACAATTTACAGCTTCTGATACTATAATACATTGGCACAGAGCTGCCACAATTTCAAGCTGGGTTTTGAAGAGGCTGTGGCATGAGAGATATCACTGCTGATGTCAGATGAATACTGTCTGAAAGAAGAGAATGCCACTAGAATGTCTATTATGTAAAATTGACTCTGTAAATCATAACCAGCTCTAACATTGAGAAGACTGGATAGCCCATATTACTTAATTGTGATCATAGGAAACCCCTAATTAGGTTAAGAAGCTGTTGTTTGAATGGAGCAAGGGAACATTGCATGATTTAAAATCAAGAGGTGTGCCTCTGGGCTATGTCCTTTATCCATACCTATTCAATCTGTGACACAACTTTGCTTTCTAAAAGTGAGGAAGACTTGAAATACTTGCTGCAGAAGATCAAAGACTGCAGCTTTCAGTATCAATTGCATCCCAACATCAAGAAGGCAGAAATCTTCACCACTGGACCAATAAACAACATTATGATAGATGGAGAAAAGATCGAAATAATAAAAAACTTCTTCTTACTTGGTTCCATAATCAGTGCCCTTGGTATTAGCCGTCAGGAGATGTTGTTGTTGTTATGTACCGTCGAGTTGCTTGCGACTCATAGCAACCCTGTGTACAACAGCTATAAACTCTCCTCTGTCCTGTGCCAATCTCATTGTCTCCGACACACTTGTCCCGATTGCCCCAGTCACCGAATCAATCCACCTTCCAAAGGGCCTTCCCCTCCTGCACCTGCCCTCCACACTCCCAAGCATGATGTCCTTCTCCAAGGACCAGTCTCTCCTTACAGCATGAGCAAAGTATGTCAGATGAAGTCTCAGAATCCTTGCCTCCAAGGAGCAGCCCGGTTTAACCCTTTCCAGGATGAATCTGTTTGTTTTCTTAGCAGTCCATGGAACCCTCAGCACTCTTCTCCAACACCGAAGCTCAAAAGCATCAATTCTTCTATCCACCCTGTCATTGTCCAGCTCTCTGACACATAACAAGTGATTGCAAAGACAATGGCCTGTACCAGATGCACCTTAGTCTCCAAAGACACACCGTTGCTTTTCAGTACTTTAGAGAGGTCCCTAATGGCAGACTTCCCATCGCAATATGTCTTTTAGTTTCCTGGCTGCTGGTGTCAAGAGTGTTGATTGTGGAGCCAAGCAGACTAAAGCTGTGAACAATCTCAGTCTCTTCACCATCCATCCTGATGTTGTCAATTGGTCCAGTGGTGAGAATCTTTGTCTTCTTGACATTGAGCCTCAATCCATATTGAAGGCTGCAGTCCCTGACCCTCAACAGTAAGTGCTTCAGGTCCTCTCAGTTTCAGCAAGCAGAGTTGTGTCATCTGCATAATGCAGATTGTTGATAGATCTTCCACCAGTCCTTATGCTGCATTTCTCCTCATAGAGCCCAGCCTCCTGGATGATCTGTTCTGCATACAGGTTGAAAACGTATGCAGACAAGACACATCCCTAGCATATGTCCTTCCCAATTTTGAACCATGCAGTGTTTCCTTGCTCTGTTCTGACGACTGCCTCTTGGTCCAAGTATAGGTTTCTCATTAGCACGATCAAGTGTTCTGGAATTCCCATTCTTCTCAGAGTCAACCACAGTTTGTTATGGTCCACACAGTCAAACGCCTTTGTATAATCAATGAAACACAGACATTCCTCTGGTACTCTCTGCTTTCAGCCAAGATCCATCTAACATTAGCTACAATATCCCTAGTACTACGACCCCTTCTAAACCCAGCCTGGACTTCTAGCAGTTCTCTGCTGATATGCTGTTCCAGTCGTTTTTTGATAGTCTTCAGCAGAATCTTGCTTGCATGTGAAATCAATGATATTGTTGTATAGTTTCCACACTTCTGTTGGGTCACATTTCTTTGGGAATGGGAACAAATATAGATCTCTTCCAGTCAGTTGGCCAAGTGGTTGTTCTCCAGATTTCTTGACACAACTTGGTGAGCACATCCAAGGCAGCATCTGTTAGCTGAAATATGTCAGTTGGTATACCATCTATTCTTGCGGGCTTGGAAAAGTCCGTTATGAGGGACCTCTCCAAATTTCCATTTGATTGTGTTTGGACATTTGGGCTGTTTCCATGTTCTTGTGATGGTGAATAACACTGCTATGAACATTGGTGTACAAGTCTCAAAATGCTTCACCAATATGTCGTGTCATCCTTTCACAGGGGCCATGCTAATCTCTGTATCATTCTAATTTCTTAGTATATGTGCTGCCAAAGAGAGCACAGGCCAAGGTCGTTTTAATCAATTGTTATGCATCTGAGAGTTGTACAATGAATTACTAAAGCTGCCAGAAAAAGAATTTGTGCCTTTGAGTTAGGTCAGAGAAGAGCATTGAATATGCCAAGGACTGCCAAAAGTACAAACAGATATGTCTTAGAAGAAGTGCACCCAGAGTGCTCCTTGGAAGCAAAAATAGCAACACTTCGTCTTTCACACTTGAACTTTTAGCTAGGCGAGGCTATTCCTTGGAAAGGGATATCATGATAGTAAAGGTGGAGCATCACTTCAGGAGAGGGAGGAACTCAACAAGATAGACTAACATGATGACTGTCACAACAGACTCAACCATGTCAGAGATGATGAGGATGGCACAAGATAGGACAGATTTCAAATCTGTTATTCATAGGATGACTATGAGTCATACTTGATTTGATGACACTTAACAACATTAGCATAATATTGGCTGATGTGTTATAATTTTTATTAAATGTATTAATACAGAAGTCACTTTATGGTTATAAATTAATGTCAGTTTTACCATTCAGTTATGATTTATTTTTAAAAATATGTTGTCTCATATTTAAATGATCATTGAATTTTCAGTGGGAAAAAAACCTTGCATGTTTAAATTCAATTCTGATGATAGCCACCTCTACCTATCATCCTGTTTTAAATACAGTGATACACTTTGGTGAAAAGACCTTAAATTTAGAATACCCTCATCCGAACTCTTCTCATTCCTAAGCTTGTTTAATATGGGCAAGTTTTGGGGTTTTGGATTTTTTTAAATTTCTCTAAGCTTTCTTACCTTTCAAACAGAGAAAACCCCTCTCTTCATTCTGTACACACTCTATAAAAGCACTTGGTATTCAGTAGTGAGCCTGATGTAGTCCCTGCCCTCCTCATCCTTTTCTCATTCGAGTTGCAGAAATAAATCTCAAACAACTAATTGCATATTTAATTATAGTTATAGTAAGTATACAAAGAGAAATAGTGAGAAGAGTGTGGAAAGTACACGGCCTGCCCTGGATCTAAATTAAAAGGAGGCATAGAGTAATTGGTATAGTGAGGTGGGGTGAGGGTGGCAGAAAAACAAAATAGAGGGTCTCTCACAAATTCTCTTTGGCTGGAAAGAAGCAGGCACTGGATGGTAGACTGTTGGTGAAGTAGACAGAGACACAACAGAGCCTTGCTTACTATTCTGAGAGCCTTCCAATCTTTATCTTAGGAACAGTGGGAAGACATGGAAGGGGAAAGGCTAGTGACATTATCACATTCTTACATTAGAAAAATCACTGTGGCTGTAATGTGGAGCTTGTATCTAAGAAACAAAAATAGATCTGGGAGACCTGCAGTAGTGCAGATAGAAGTGGTATATTGTGCCAGTAAGTTATGGGCAGCCATGAAGACAGAGAAATGGATGATTAACAATATTAGGAGGAAATACCAATAGGATTTAGAATAGATAAGGGCAATAAGTAATTGCTAACATTTATTGAGTGTTTAAAACCCAGAAATATTACATATACTTGTTACTTAGTCCTTATAGTCATCTCTTTTATAGATTAGGAAACTAAGGTTTGGAGAGGTTAAACAACTTTCTAAGCATGACATGGGTAGTGAATGGCAGAGCCCTCACTCCTAACCACTGTACAAAAGTGGATGTTAGAAGAGGGGAGAAAAAAAAAAAAAAAGAGAAGAGGGGAGAAGATAATGGAAAAGATGCCAGTAAGGAATCTTAGACTTTTGTTTTTCTAACTTGAAAGATGAGCAGTCTCCTCCTGTGTGATTTACTGCCTCTGATAACCCACTAGACGTTCAGGTATGAATTGGGTTCTGACTCATCAGTATTGTCCGAATGAATAGCAATGACTGAATGTTGGTATCATGAAGCAAGGAACATTGAAACCAAACTAGACTTTGGGGCAGCAAATTGTTGAGTTTTTATATGAGGATTACTTTTTGTGAGACATTCATATTATATAAACAAATTACGGAGCAGATTCTACTATGGAATTGATTCTGACTCATAACAAAACTAAAGGACAGAGTAAAACTATCCCCTAGCATTTCCATGGTTATAAATCTTTTTCTAAGAATACTACCTCATAAGAATACTAATGGCCTTTCTCTACTGCCCTTTTGGTTAGCAGCCAAGGACTTAACTCACTGAACTACCACAGCCCTTATAAACAAATTCTACTTTGTTATATAATTACCCAAGGACATCAACATTTGTTTACTTAATCTAAGCTAGAAAGTGTAAGTGTTTTTACTCATTTTGCCATTGTTATGTGCCATCAAGTCAGAATCAACTCATAGCCGACCCTCAAAGGCTGTAAAATCACAGGGGAGGAAATTGCCCATCTTTCTTCAACAGAGCAACTGGATTCGACTGCAAACATTGTCACTCTGTGGTTGGGTTGTCAGTACAACTCCTTACCACTAAGCCACTAGAGTTCCCTCTTACCCACTAGGCCACTGTGTTATTTTAATTGCTTTATTTATACTTTAATTATCCCTCTTGGATAAGAAACTGTTCTTTTATTGTCCATACTTAAAACAATGTCTGGCATAAAAATATGAATTTGTAACAGTTCATTGAAAGAATATATTATTAATAACATTTAATAAATATTTACCATTTTCAAATAAAAATTTCATATTCTTTGGTCATCAACAACTGGCCTATTAGATTTTGCCTGTAGCTTTTAAAATTTAATTACTTCTTTTAGATAAAATTTTATTTTAATTGTTATTTAACAAACATTTACAGAGAAGTTATATTTTTATTTATCCATTCTTGCACATATAAAATTAATTTTAAGCTTACAAGTTTCGTTCTTTTCATTGTTGAAATCTTATGAAAATAATTTCATGAAGTGAATTGAATAAATTCTTAGTGATTTGAGAACCAGGGTAAAGATTTCAGAGATTTGTAAATATAACTTTGCCCCCTTAAATTTAACTTTATATAATATATATATTTGATGAGTAATCATTACTTCATGAATAATTTAGTTGTTGTTTTGTACTACTGCGTTGAAAACAACACATAGCTGACCTAAATAGCAGGGGAGGGGAGCAGCTGGTGAATTTGAACCTTTTACCTTTGTGTTACCAGTGTAATTCCTGACCACCAAGCCACCAGAGCCCCCTATATAGTTGTTGTTGTTGTTAGATGCCATTGAGTCGAGTACAACTCTTAGAGACCTTAAGAACATCAGACCTGAATCCTTCCTATTCTGTGTCATCCTCACCACCTTGAGCCCTTTGTTGCAGTCACGGTGTCAGTCCATCTCGCTGGGGATCTTCCTCTCCTTTGTTGACGCTCCATCTTTCAAAACATGATCTCCTTTTTCAAGGAGTGGCCTCACTTAGCTGCATGTTCAGAGTATAAAAGATGAAGCTTTGCCATCTTTGCCTCAAGGAGCATTCCAGCTGTACTTTCTTCAAGACCTAACTGTTTTCCCATTTGGCTTTCTATGGGATATTCAGAACTCTTCTCTAACACCACAACTCAAAGGCATCAGTTCTTCTTCTGTCATGCTTATTCATTGTCCAGTCCTCAAATACATAGGTAGTAATGGAAAGGACCATATTATTTCTTATTTTTTAAATTATAAACATACAGCAGTGTATTAACTGGTTTAGCTAGCAATCGAATGTACAAATTAAGTTATGTTATCCTAAGATTAACTTCTCTCCAAAAGTGGCCATTTCTAATTTTATAACTTTAGCTATTTTGCTTTTTAAATCTCTACCAGGTATCATCAGTTTCTTTGGAAAATCCTACTGAAGTCTTTGAGGATGGAGAAAATCCACCAAGTAGTCAATCATCTGAAAGTGGTTTCACCGAGTTTATCCAATACCAGGCAGACCGAAATGATGACATTGACAGTGAGGGACAGGGGACAGCTGCCATCCCAATTGGTAGCACTTCTTCTGAGACGGAAACAGCATCCACTGTGGGGTCTGAAGAAACCGTCATCCAGGCTCCTTCCCTCATTACTCAGGGAACAGCAACTCGAAGTGGGAAGTCAGCCCAAAAGACGGCAATGCAGTGTTGCCTCGAGTATGTCCAGCAGTTTCTAACCAGACTTATCAACCTCTATATCGTTCAGAGTAACTCTTTGTCTCAGCCTTTAGCTGCCGAACATATAGGTGATCTCAGTAGAGGACAGAGGGAGACTTCCAAATGGGATAGGGATTCACAGGGAGATGTGAAAGAAAGGAGTTTAGGGAAACGAAAGTGTTCTAAAGAATACCTTTCTGCCTTTGTTGCTGCTTGTCAGCTCTTCTTGGAGTGCTCAAGTTTCCCAGTTTACATTGCTGAGGGGAACCACACGTCAGAGCTTCATTCAGAAAAACCCGACACTGGTAAGGTCTTTTCTGTTTTATGATTGTTAAATATTTCCCTAAGACAGTTGTTCCTTTTTTAAAAAAGATACACGTAGCTATTAAAACTGCAATATGAAAAGCTTCCCCCCTCCCCCACAGTGAGTGAATTTTTAAAACTTTGTATTTTAATTGGGATAATTTTAAATGAAATATTGACATTCTAATATATTGAGAGATTTTGTGATTTTCATGTCTTTAACAGTTGACTTACAAGTAAGCAGTAGCTAAGAAGGAAATGAATTCCTTTCTCTAGAGGAAGTAATATAAATTTTAAATCTACTGATTTTCTTTTATATGGCTAATATATGTCTACTTGTATTTAAAATTTTTAGGTACATCATGTCTTTAAAAATGTATTGAAGTGGTCAATAAAACTTGACTGTTTTTGTTGTTGATTGCCTTCGAGTCGAGCACAACTTATAGCAACCCTATGAACAAAAGGCCTGAAGCCCCTCTACAACTATCGACATTTATCAAAGTTCATAGAGTTTCCAGAGGCTTACATATTTTATGCCCTGTTAGTAACTAATATACCATAAAATAAGTAAGCTTGTTTAATGAAATTTGTGCTCTTTAAGGATTTTTTTACTAACATTGGTAATTTGACCACACAAATCATTTGCATGTTCAAAGAAACATCAATAATAAAAGGCCTGCAGTAGGATTTTAGAAAATGCTTGTTATTTATGTCTAGTAAAAGATGTCAGATATAATATTTGCTATTAATCAATTACAAAATTGGAAGTTGGAAAAGTTACATAGTAAGCCATTACCAGTGGTTGGATTTGAGTAGGTAAAGAAACAGAAGAATAGAGTGATCAACTGTTAGCACTACAGGTCCTGCTGGCTTACCTGTAAAAAGCTCTTCTTTTTTCCAATTTTAGAACCTATCTGGACTTAGAAACAAGAATGCTCCTCTTAAACTTGGGATACAGACAAGTATCAGAGCCAGAGTCCAAAAATAGACTTGAAATTTAATGTTTGAATCTTGTTATCAGTTTCTACCAAATTTGAAAGTAAGCAGGTTCTACCAAATTTAAAAGTAAGCAAGAGTGATAATTCAAATTGAATTTGTGATTTATTAAAGTTAATGCTTCTTTTAAAAAAGCATTACATTAATAAAGCTTTACATTTTGTTTCATTATCATTGTTGTTAATTACCATCCCATTGGAACCAACTCATAGCTGACCACCCTCCAGTGGGTTTTCAGAGACAGCAAATTACATGGGAGGAGGTTATGCATCTTTCTTCCATGAAGCAGCTAGGAGATTTGAACCATATACCTTTGGTATGGCTGTGCAGTTCCTTATCATTAGACCACCAGAGCTCTCTATTTAGTTATTAATGGTAATGACATAAGAGAATGATACATATTAATGTTGTCTGCTATGCCCTGTGAAATAGTTAAGATCCCACTGCATATAAGTTCATTGTAGTTGTACAGTATTGAAAGTATAATACTTTTTAAAAGGAACAGACACCTAAAATGTAGTGTGTGCTTCTACTTTTTATAGGTATTGTCCCCTAAGGCAGTATGCTGCATTGTCTAGTATAGGAGCTACAGAGTGACTATTTAAGGTATTTTGACAGAGATTAAATTCACAGTTCGGTGCCTCAATCATACTCACTGTGTTTTGAGTGCTTGATAGAACCTACATCCTAGAAAGTTGTGAACAGTGTTGCTGTACCAGTCAGCATTCTAATTTATCTTCTAGTAATTGTTGTTGTTTTTATGTGGCGTCAAGTCGCTTGCAACTCATAGTGACTCTATATCCAAGAACCCTAAACCCTACTCTATTCCTGTTCCTGTGCCAACCTCAGTCTTCGACACACCTACTTCCACTACCCCAAGCACTGAATCAATCCATCTCTTTGAGGGTCTTCCTCTCTTGCACCATCCCTCCACTCTCCCAAACATGATGGCCCTCTCCAAGAACTGGTCCCTCCTTGTAACATGCCCAAAGTATGTCAGATGAAGTTTCAGAATCCTTGCCTCCAAGGAGCAGCCTGGCTTCACCCTCTCCAGGACAAACCTGTTTGTTCTCCTAGGAGTCCATGGTATATTCCCACTCCAGCACCACAGCTCAGATGCATCAATTCTTTTTCTATCATCTCTAGTCACTGTCCAGCTCTCTGATGCATAGCACACAATTGCGAAGACTATAGCCCAGATCATGCACACCTTAGTCTCCAGCCTTATGTCATTGCTCTTCAGTATTCTTGAGAGGTCCCT